TCGACAGCATTTATCATTTTCAAATTGCAGTTCTATTTCAGCATGCGTGTCGCCAATTCCTATTAAACAAAGATGGATTACACGTTGACTGACTTTCAACATACGTAATGAGTATCAGAAAATAAAAATGAAGTAGGATAATCAATCGCTTCTTTCCTCTCATGAATTTCATGAAGCACATATCGAAACAAGTCCACAGTCGTTCAGGGATAATAGAAGGAAAAAAGTTGCATGCAGTCGAAAATGCAAACCACAAATATGTGTTTAGACAAATTTTGCAAAGTGTTAATAACCTTTGACTGACACGTTGACTGACTTTCAACATATGTAATGAGTATCAGAAAATAAAAATGAAGTAGGATAAATCGGAAAATGGCGTGAAAAACTAATTATCTCAGTGATTTGTCCATTTGAAAGGAAAGAACATTTTAAATTACAACAAATATTACTGACTTTTCCTTTCTAAATCAATGTAAGTTTTTGAGAAATAGTAAGAGCATATTTAGTTTCGCACAAAATTAACAAAAATCTTTCCCTGAACAATTTGTAATTCCTATTAAACATTGAGAATTTTGGAAAGTTTGGTGGCGTAAATGATAAGCAATTCCTACTATTTTGAGAATTTGTAGGCATATGCAGGAGTTCATTGAGAAATAATTTTGATGCTTGCTTTTAAATTATTCAGAAATAAAAAAGTAAACATTATTTCTCATGGAAAATATTAATGTAATTTTATTTTTTTAAAGTTATATGACGAGATACTCCAAGTTTTAGTCTTTGAATGCTTTATTAAAAAACAAATGAAATTTGACAACACTTCATGACCAATTTTTCAATATTTTTTTCAGACCATCGGTCTATACTTGAAAAAATTTTGATTTGCCTAAAAATTTTTAAATTCCAAACAAGAGAACCAGTTTTTAAGAAGTTTATCAACTTTAAACTACTAAAATTAATGAATCTCAGTTGGAAATGAAGTAAATGTGACAGCCTTGTGCTAAAATCATATTATTTAAACCTTCTATACGTGCTCAATTTCTTTCGAGGAGTTCAGGAAAAGTTACTGACATGCTATAATGAATTTTGAAAAAATAATTCTGGCAAAGATTGAAGGATGAGCTAAAAAGATTTTAATTTCGCTTCAACTATAAGTTACTATAACCAACGTAATCCAGAAAGAAAGACGCTACTTTATTTTCTTCAAAATAACACGAAAAGCAGAAAAAATTCACATATCTGGATGCAAATATTATAGACGAAGGGCGTCATGAGACAAACGCAAAGCACCTTCTGTTGAAGCCTTCGAGGAAAATCATTGCTTTCTACTTGCATTTTTTTTAGAGCTAAAACGTATTAATACAACAGGCCACGTACTTTTGGGTGACATTCCTTTCCGCTTTTCTTTCATCTTTTCCTCAATGTAATCAGTAAAATTGATTATAAAATTAATTGGAAAATTGATGATTACTGATCCTGAAAGAAATAATAATGTATGCCATTCAACAGCTATTATCTCTCCTTAAAAACCGTTAGTAATCATTATCCACCACAAGTCAAATTTTGATAACTTTCGTGGAAAAAGTGGAGGACTGAAGTGAAATTATGGAAAGTTATAGGAGTTGAAAATGATTTACACAGTATATTATAAAATTTTGGTTGTTCGCAGAGTAACTTTTTGACGATCATTTGTATTTCGAGTCTTGGGCTGTATAAATATTCAGTAATACTGGATAAGTACCTTTTACCAATATGACAGCAGAATGAAAATTTGTTGCCTCTTTTGTTACGACTACAAATTTTGTTACAAACACGGAATATAATCTGTGAAGATAACAGCAGAAATGAAGAGCAATGACAATCTTATTTACATGTACCATTTCTAATCAATCTAAGCAGCAAGTTCATTAATTTTGCAGAGGAAATTATAAGGTATATAATTTCGTAAAGCAAAATCTATGGTTCATTTTCGGTAAAATTACCTCTGACATACTAAAACATGTTAGGAAATGGAATTATTAGGAATACTAGTGTTTTGAAAAGTTTTGCAATAACTTTTGGGTTGGATTCACTTTGCAATAAATGTTCAACAACGGACCCATCTCGCAAGAATTTTTGGAGAGATTGATAATTCTTTAGATAATTTTTCATTTTCAAACACAATATCACTCTTTTCCCAATAGAATATACATATTGTAAACAGCGAATACAAATTCGTCGAATAAGCGGTTCATAGTTGTTTAATGATTATTTGCTTGTTTTAATTACTGCTTTGCAATTGATTGTTTACTCAAAGGATATTCTTCTGAATAACTATTATCACCCAATTTTCTTTTACTATCAAATGCCTGCATAATATTCATTCGTTCCCATCGGAATCAATTTTCTACTTTTTCCTTTTCGATTCTTTGTGCTAGTTAATCCTTTCATTCAGTAAATGCAAAAAAACACATTCGAACTGCCTGTGCCTTCTTTTAGATTCATTCATTCATGCATTTCATCTATATCACTGCACTTTTTTGGTCTCAATTTTTGACAAGTCACTGGTACTATTAGGATGAATTTGTGATTTTCCCATTAAAAGACAAATTAAGAAAGTTTTTGCAATTTTAAGAGCAATCAAAGTTATAAAATAAAAGTTAACAATAAGAAGGAAGGGGTCACGCTGTTAAATTGCATTTGAATTTATTCATAAATGCATAGAATGAAGAGCAATTTGCAATAAACTTTCTAAATTATCAATTTTTATTTCACAAATACAAACCTATGTTCTTTATTATAATTGGTATCAGCATTTTATAAACGAAAATAAACACTTATGAAGTAAATCACTTGTAGATAAAAATTGTTGATGTTATTTGTAAAAACATAAAATTGCGAAACTTCAATCCAAACTTAGATACTTTCCACATTATTCACCATTTCACTGTTTAATAAGAGCAGTAAGTTTTATTATACGTATGCACAAGCGTGAACATTATGTGCGTGTTTACGCTTGCAAATCTGTGCTGGACGTCAACCGTATATAATAAACATTTCTCACACATTACAAGCAAGCAGTTAAACCAACTTTCTTCAAATTACTGACAATACTATTCTACTCGCTAATGATACTCATCTAAAGAGCTTAAAAATATTCTCAACAGATTTGTTTCAAAATGAATTTACATAAATGTCCTGTACGTTTGGCTTGATAATTAGACAGAAAATAAAATCAGACCATTTTGTATGCCAAATTAATTACACTCCAATATGGACGGCCACATTTGCCTCCTTTGGATCAAAAAGATTTATTTCATAGTATATTGTTTTTTTGAATTTCTTCTGAAACAAATACATGACTGAAAGTATGAAAAAATTATTTTCAAATAAAGCAATTGCAATCTTTTCTCTTGACTTAATTCCATTGATATAATTTAGATTTTAGCCTTAATACTTGAGAAAATAAAATCAAAAAGTTGATTCCCCACTTTATCATTTTAATCATTTTACCTCTAAGAATCTTTTTGCAATCCACAAAGCAAATAATGGAATTTTTTCACTTTATCCACCACTACTTTTTTCAATCTTAAGCATCAGTCATTCATGTTGGCTATACAATTGCACGTTGATAGACAGCACCATTTCACATGACTGAAAATACTTCTCAAATATCAAAAATAAGAAGGTAAAATACTAATTATGCATGTTATATATTAAGTCGAAATTTAGTTTCACTTTTTTTGCACTCTATAAAGTTCCCAAAACTGAGAAAGATATTGTTTCGTTCCAAACTTGAACAAATGATTATAAAAAATAATTTTTTTAAAGTGTATATAATAAAATTAAAAAAGGATAAACTTTTCTCCATTCTATTTAAGTAGCACAAACTAATGAAGAATAGTGAATACTGATAACCATTACCAGAAACTTGTTCCTTCCAATTCATTTACGATTAATGGTGATTATAGTAATTTCTATCAACACAACGACTTGCTATCTACTAATAATAAAGGAATGCATGTCGTGCATATTTCAGTTTGCTTGATGTCATGTATAAGACAATTTATCTCACGAAATATATTTCAGCAATTCTTTTACAATTTTTTTAGATCGAAAACGATAGCAGAAATGAAACTCCAAGCTTAACAACTCGAAGCCAATGCACGAGCAGACTGAAAGATGCTGAAGAATCAATTAACAATTAAAAAGGACTTAAATTAATCATTTTAGAACTGACAAAAAGTAGTGTCAAATTTATTAAAAGTTTGTTCAAATTTTATTAAAATGTAAGAGCTACAAATTTTCACTGCTCGTCAAATAACGGCCATATATGAAGCGAATAAAAAATACGTGAAAGACAAAATCTAAAATTTTACACAGTTCTAGAGTTCCTCAGAATCAAAAGAAAAGAAATCAGGAAATTGTACGCTCTGTGTTTGTAGTATGGAAATTCGTGAGAATCTACTGAGAGATATGGAAATGACATGAAAATAAATGCGTAATTGATTAAGCGCCAAAACACACAAAGTGTTTCTCATGTCCACTCATTAGAGATTTTGACGCTTGATTTATATTTAAGTTGCATGCAACAAAAAATGCAATAGACAGGTCGGAATAACTTGTAAGCTTTGGTTGAGAATACTATCAAGCTGTTTTGTTACATGTGCTAGCACTATTGTTTTTGTTGATGAGGATGTTTTTATATAGATTGTGGGGTAAACTTTATCAGTTTACTTGTAACTGTAGATGTTGTTACTTTTATGTGCTTCAATTCGACGTCACATTTTCTAATGGTGATTAGAATTACATTCTTCTGGTCTGAGGAATGTGAAGTTTTAAGTATTTATTAGTACATTAGTTAAAGATATCGGAAGTTATGCTCTCATTTTTTTTACTTGGTCGAACCAAAATGATTTTGAGTTCTTAATCAGATTTTTTTTCATTTTTACTATTCAGTTGAAACAGAAATGGCGAAACTTTGATATTTACTTGATATTTAAAAATAACAAATGAATTTCAGGATGGGTGAGAGTGATCATTACGGCTTTTCATTAACAACCTTCAGGTATGTTACAGTGTTATTTGCATTCCATATGGAATTTTTAAATAATCACCTGATCATTTTAAGTTTGGACATATTGCGGTTTTTTCATTAGTGGTACGGTCATTATTGTTCATTTTTTAATTCCATATACCGTAAATCTTATGGCTTTTTCCCTATAAATTTTACAAATTTTAGCCCTTCGGGGAAGCTGATGCAGATTGAATATGCTTTGAATGCTGTAAAAAATGGGCAGCCGTCCGTGGGATTACGAGGTTTGGTAACCTTTTTGTTTCATAAAAACAGTTTCTTCAAAATCAAAAAGTAATACTTCAGTAAGTTAGAAGCGATTTAATTCATATTACATAGAACCAAAAACAATTTATTTATGAGAAAAATGCAGTGCTGCTGTGAAGTTCACCTTTGGTTACTTATGGAATTACGTGGTTCTTAATCCAATTTTGCCTGAGATATTATCAACTAAATAAAGGAAGCATATTTCAGCCTCTGATGGCGTCGTTTTAGCTACTGAAAATAAAGCATCAGTATTATATGAGGATCAGCCAAAAGCAGAAAAAATAAGCCAGCATATCGGATGTATTTATAGTGGCATGGGACCTGATTATAGGTGAGTTCCTGGACATGACGCTAAATATCAGTGGTAAATAAAATTATTTTTAAATAGTAATGAGTCATTAAGGAAAGCGTAAGGATAAAGTTTTAATTCTTCAGGTTTCTAATTTTTTGAACACAAAAGCTCAGTAAGAATGCTTAAGATTGCTTAAGATTTGATATGATTGCACTTCAAAAATTTTCATCTCTTATAATCTTATTTGTGCCTACTATCTTAAGCCATCATTTTTCAAATAACAATTAATACATAAGTAAAGAGTTGGTCAAGGTACACTAAAACATCTAAAAAATTGTTGCTTTTCTTTCATGCAACAATCAGATTAATATGTTTCGAAACAAATTATCTCATGTATGAATAATTGTTTAAGTGTTTTTTTCAATAAGTTTCTTGGATGACAACGATTATCTTTCTCGCTAAGTACCATTATTTTTTCGCAAAGTGTTAGTCTTTTCAGGATACTCGTCAAAAAAGCTCGAAAATTAGCAGCAGAATATGAGTTGATGTACGGAGAGGAAATACCGACCACGCAACTTGTAACAAAATTAGCCGCTGTGATGCAAGAATATACTCAGTCTGGGTATATAACTTGTATCTATATTTTTGTTTTCTTTAAGTCATAAAATTCATTTTGGAAGCTCTAAAAAGTAGCCGTGTTAAAAATTTAATCTCATTTCAAATTCAAATGAAAAAGTGATGAGCGATGAGGAACATATCGTTTATAAGAAGTAATATCGATTTATCTTCGAGAATCTTTCTTGTTTTTCACAACGTCCATTATAATGCTAAAATATTATAGTGGTGTTCGACCTTTTGGTGTTTCGATGCTCGTTGCCGGATGGGATCAAGAGCCTAATAATGGCCGGCCGCTTTTGTTTCAGTGTGATCCTTCGGTAATTGCTTTGAATATTTTTTTTTTGAATTGAATTCAAGTCAGCTGGGAACAGTAATTCCTACTGCAGCCAAGACAAGAAATCCTGATATAAAAAGAATGAAAATGAAATAATTCATTAGATTAGATGGATGAAGAGAAGTAATGTGTTTTCTTAATGATTCTTTTGTTTTATGTTGTTGATTCTTGCATTTTATATTAATGATGCATTTTTTATTTAGGGGGCCTATTTTGCGTGGAAAGCTACAGCTCTGGGGAAGAATGACGTAAATGCAAAAACGTTTCTGGAAAAACGATTCAATGACTCTTTAGAACTAGATGATGGTATTCACACGGCATTGTTGACCCTAAGGGAAAGTTTTGATCTTGGTATGACTGAAGATAACGTGGAAATCGCCATTTGCAATAAGAATGGATTCACGCGTTTATCTAAACAACAAGTAAAAGATCATGTCGGTGCACTCTAATGACTATCTTTTAATTGTTAAAGCGATTCAATATGTTGTTTATGCCTCTTACTTTGCATGCTAATACATAACTGAGTTTGTTGACACTTAAATGTTGCATAACCATATTTTAGGTTTTTTCAAAGGTTTTTATTGTAGTTTTTTCCTGTTATCATTGTAGCAACCAGTTTTGATTTCATTTCAAGAATTTTCTGGAATAAAAAAGTGAAAAAATTTAGTTTTCGATTAGTTTTTGACATTGTTTTCTGGGATGCAAAATTTCCGGATTGTGTTCTATGTTGATTCATGCAAAAATTATTGGGGAAAACTGAACGTTGTGACAGTTTTGTATTTATTGAGATTGCTGGTAAAATATCTGGAACGTGTTCGTTTGAGATTGTTCTATTCTCAGGAGAATCCATAAGATATATTTTAGCAAAGTAGAGAGTTTTTTGCCTGGTCGATTGACTATGACAATGGAATTTTGTTCTCTTAGTTGGTGAATATCACTAATTCAGAATTACTTATGTCAGCATCTGTGGCTGTATTTCTGTGCTGGAATAACAGCATTCACCAATGTTCATAGAAGTGTCCTTTTTTCAACCCGCATCATTATCTTATTGCAGAGGTGGACAAATCAGCAGTGATTATTGAGAGGAGTATGTCGAAAGCAAAGTAAGTGTTCAGTTCTGACTTGCTGAAAAGTTGAGGGATCTTTCCAAAGTTTTGAAAATTTGGTATAAGATTTTAGTAAGAAGGGTGTCTCGTTGCTCCTTTTTTCCTGAAAGAAGTAAATTAATGTGCCATATTTCAGTCCTGCTTTTGAGAACTAAGATTTGTTTGACGGCAGTTCTAAGAATTTTATAACCCTTAACAGTTAGTACTATTTCTACCTTAAAAAAATCAGATATAATTTCTTAGATATGATTTTTACCAAACGGATGCGCATGTTTTTGTGACAATACTGAAGCGTGGTTTAATAGCAGAACAGTGTAAAGCACAATATGAAAATGGTTGGCTAATAGTATCGTCTGAGGATGAAGTTTTATTAAATATACAGTTAGCACATCCCGTTTCCAAATCAATGGAGTTGAAATGTTCGCCATCTAAGGTTATATTCTACCCCATTTTTTCTGTCAAACGCGATTATCTATTTTAATGCGGTCATGCATATCCCCCTTGTATTAGTGATATGACATATCTTTTCGTCCTTATTATGATTTTGATAAAACTATAGTTAATCGCTTATTGCAAATTCGTATGTTCCTTCACTTTATTACAGAAAATGTAATTTTTTTTCATTCTGTGATTTTTTAGATCGAAATAAAAATGTCGAAAATAGTATCAGAACAGTGGGAAACACTGGAAGTGAAAAATGAAAAGCCGAGAAATAAGGTGGGTTTTCGGAAAAATAATGTCATTAAATTGACTTACTACCTGTCGCATTCGGAGGTACTTACTATTGCTTTTCCTTGATGCGAATCAAAAAACGCTCTACTGAAAAAAGAACAGAAATATTGACTGTATTTCTGTGCATTCAGTCTTGCTACAGTTACTTTTCAAAAGCAAAAAGTTAATTTTCTGGAGATTTGATTTGATATATATTTTAAAGAATGTTTGGATTTTTAATATGATGTCCTCTGTTGCTAAATTGTGCTCAATTTGCTTAGCGTCCGCATTTCGATTCTTAAATAGTTCATTCTCAATAAAGAAAAAAATTCCAAAGATCTTTACAGCCAACACTGATTAGCTGGGATAAACTAGCGGAAGATGTAGACGATGAAGAACAGGGAGATGTCAATGCACTTTTCCAAGTTAGCTTGTTTTATTTGTAATATGTCATATGCGCCCAAATTTGTAGTTATTTTGCACTGTTGACGTGGAATCCTATTGACTAAGTACTACCTAATTTTGTGTCAGTGAGCTCTATGAACATGCTACCTCTAGAGCTTCATTTTGACGCGATCATGTTTTTTTAGAAAATATACAAAGACGCCGACGATGACACGAAAAAAGCAATGATGAAGTCTTATACAGAAAGCAGTGGCACAGTGTTGAGTACGAACTGGCAAGAAATAAGTAAAAAGCGTACGAGAATTCGGCCACCAGAGGGAATGGAATTCAAGAAATGGTAAATGTTCTGCAGTTGTTCAGCTTTAAAGTGATACGCTGCTGTTATTATCAAACAGTATGGTAGGTATTGCCCTAATTACGTGTCTTCAGGCTTTTTCTTTCTGCGTTCGAAAATTTAAATTTATACGGTAAAAAAAATCGGAATTCGGGAGTGAAGAATTGGGTATTCCCATGGAATTAAAGCGAATATTATAAAAATGCTCTTGTAAAATCGTGAATTACTTGCAGGAATTCACTAAAATATTTTAAACTGAGTAAGCTTCATTTTTCGTATCACCCATCATTTTGCTTTGTTCTTCGCAAATTAGTAATTCAAATCTTTACCAACTAGAATTCCTTGCTTCATTTTTGTTGGTTAATATTTCTCCGTGGGAAAATTTGGAATCATACCTCAACGCAACCTTGTATTTTGAAATTGATGGCTTTCTGATTTGTATTTTTTGTTGCGAAAAAGTTTTAAATAAAAAGTTTACATAAATAGATTGAGTTTTCACATAATTAGAAAACTGGCAAGTCATTAAGTGAATTGAGTGTTTAGATGTTTTATAATGAAAAATAGGAAATTTAATACTAGCATTATATCATGTATCTGCACTTTACCTTGATATTCGCAGTGGTGCAGTGTGATGAAAGGATCTCAGATCCTTCAATTACTAGATATGACGTAACGAAGTTAAGTAGTATTCACATTTTTTAGCAAAGTCAGAGATTTTAGCCTTCGCACGCCATTTGCAAGAATAAACACTAGTGTTTTATACTACTACTATTCACTAGAAATAAAAGTTGAAACTAATTTATGGTACATCGAAATCTTCATCATCATTTGCTTTTCGTTTCAGTAAGCTAGAGATTGCCTCAGGTCTAGTTTGCCGAGCTGCTTCTGTTGACCGTACAATTGGTTCCTCTTTCCTACTCATCTGCTCATTAATTTCGCGAAGCTGTTCATTACTCTAAAATTAAAGCAGGGTTTGAAGCAGATAGTGAATCAACTAGTACTTTAAATACCAGTATTATCGGTGTGTTCAGCTCTGTGACAGGAAGTTGACAGATATTACCTTCCAACTCATGTTTGGTTGTATCAAACAAAATCGATCATTTGGAAGCCTTAAACCATAATTTTGTCGAATTGAAGGGAGTGGTACCGCATTTTTTTGTTCAGCAAATTCAACTAATAATTGTTTGTTGGGACGTTCAGACTTCCAAGTACTTGCTGAAGAAGGCGAGGAAAAAAACATTCGTAGCCAAGATTAATGAAAACTCTACATAGGTACGGGACATTTTTCATTTGAATAATTTTGAAACTGCATATAACAGCATAAATTGAACACCAATAATGTAATGCATTTCTACCAATCCTACCCCCACGACAAAACTCAATTAAAAAAGTACCTGCGTTGTCAATGGCAAATTGCACATCTGTTTCATCAATTTGCTTCTTCCCTGCATGCTCACTCACTGAACGGGCATCATCTAGAATTTCCGTTGTGTATCTGCAAGTGCTTCATTTGCTCATGTTTTCTAACAACGTAAGTTTGGAACAATCAACACATGATTTTCTGTGTTGTAACCCGCAACCCAGCTATCTTTCAAAAAACCTTACTTGTAAGCGAATTCGAGCAACTGTGAAATTACACGTGGTTCATATTCTGTAATCCCCATGTCCTTTAAAATAGCTTGCATCACCTGTGCATCATGTGGTATAGCACTCATCTCGTCACCTGATCCAATCCAAAATAACGATCGTATGATTCGCAATCAACACTAACTAGGAATCTCAAACTGATCTCAAAACTGACAGTACCCCTAACAGAGAAGGAATTAACTTGATCTTCTGATCTCTTAATTTAAAATCACATGACCTCTGATTTTATAACCTAAAATCACAGGATTTCTGACTTTATAACCTAATAACGCATGACTTCTGACTAACTTAAAATCATATGACAAGCCCTATATAATTAGTTTTTTCCCTTCAGAAATTCTAGAAATAGCGAATTGCTAAACAATGTTAAGCACTCGTTGTACCTTCGAGCAAAATCCTATCTCTTCTCAAGTACTGTTTATATACAGTCTACGAATTCGAAAACAAATTTTTTCTTCTAAAATAAATAAAGTAATCACAACTTCACGAACAAAATCTTCTGTGAAATAAATAGAACCAATTAATATCTTTTATGAGTGACAATGTTCAGTACAATATCTGTATAATTCGCCAAAAATTTTCATACATTTAAGGAAATAACAATACAATAGATCGCAAAACTTATGATTCTAAAATTGAACTCCATATTCTTTTCTACGCATGCATTATAGCTCGAACGAAATCCGAAATATTTACGTTACCATGTGAGTCATCATGACCTGCCAAAAGTTGATCAACCTCAAACAAAAGTAATGAGTCTCTTTATATCATTTACGAACTTTTTTAAAGCAGCAATTCATTACAGACTAAAAAATTACCAATTCCTGGATATGAAACAATGAAGAGACTAACTTCCTTAAAACCGATAGATGTACTATTATAGAATTTAACAGTATTTTCTAACTGATATACAGGAATGTCAACTAATATACATTGACATAATGAAACTGATATACAAGGAGGTCAACTTTCTAGTTTCTAAAATGAATCACATTGAAAAAACAATTTTATCTTGAGCATCAAATTTTTGTTAATTAATCTTCAAAAGAACATTATAAAAATTCTAAATATACCTCTTCATCCGACAAACGTTCACCTAGGGTTGTTAGCAAATGTCGAAGTTCAGCAATATTTATCATGCCATTTCCCTGGAAAACAGCGCTTAACTTCTTGGATAATTTCAAAGGAAAACTGATCGAGGCAAAAGAATTGCAAAATAATTACTTCTTTATCGAAATGTGATAATCCTTCTACAAATTCCTCCAGTGTATGGTTTTCTCTACATTTATTAACTGACTGGTAAATAGGGACGAAATCCTCAAAAGTAATTCGAGTATCTGAAAAAGCTCTAAATCGCCAATAAAAAGTAAAGGGATTGGTGGAAATCCGATTTTAATTTCACAAAATATTATTATGCAGATTTCTAAATCATAAATTAGAAAGAACTGTTAATGACGAAGAAATATAAATGATAAAGGCTCGCTAATTTATCGTTCTTTTTAAGTTTAATTATGTTGTACAAGTTTTCAGAAGTGCCTTATTACGAAGAAGCAGTAATAAAAGAAAGATGTTAAAACTACTGGCAAAAATTTTTTCTACTGCCAGTAACTTTTTTCACAAAAACATACTTCATATCTCAAAAATCAAAACTAGAAATATCTGAGCAAACTCAGCACCAGGATCCGTCCAATGTGCGCAACATTTACGGATTTCAGATTCTGTTGGATTTTGTCCAAGGGCTCGGAGAACGTCACCCACTTGAGCAACTCCAATCCGTTCATCTCCCTACAAATATCCAAATTGTCCCAACTACACATTAATACCACCGAGAAACAAACTATAAACACTCTAATAAATTAAACACTGATACCTTGGAATCAAAGTAGCAAAACACTTCACGACACTCAGATAATTGTTCATCCGCTGACGCCATTGACTCCAGAAACTCTAAAGAGTACAAAAATTAGCTTCGAAATAAACCCATGTCCCGAAGCAGACTTCTATACTCTTAAAAGAATCTATTGCAACCCAAAATATCTCCCAAGACCTAGTTCTCCCTTCATATTTTCGCCTTGTCATCAGTTTTAGTGGAAGTTCTTAATTCGAATGCACGGTTTTAGACGATAAGTTCAAATAAATGCCATAATAGGGAAAAACTTTTGAATAAATATAACCCATTATTCAAAAATTGGAAACTGTTGAATCTGGTTGAAATGAATGCAAAAAAGTTCAATGTCAAAAAACTGAAGCTTTCAAAATGATCATCAACATGCTACTACACACCGACAATAATATCCACTCTTACACATCTCACATACAAACATAAATAACCCTGACCTAATTTTAATCATATCATCTTTCCAGTGTGACAGAATTATTATCTGTATTACTAGATCAGAGAATACAAAAATCAGCAGAAGTAGAAAGTGACCCACTACTATGTACGATTCATAATCGCCAATTATCAAAACAATGTAAAAATGTTAGCAAAAATTTATGCACAAGAATACAAAAAAAAGTTGGAAAAAAAAGAACAAAAACCAATGCTGGTAACGAAACAAAAATTAAAAAATTATTCATAAATCATTGCTACCATTTTTTCAACGGAAGAAAAACAATGTTTCAAAAACTGAAGTTATTAAGGTTTTGAATTTACACCAACAAATAATATTATAAACAATACGAACAAGTGAATTTGTGGCAGACATCCTCCAATAATTTACAAATTTATGCCATTCCACTAACGATGTAAATCACTGAAGCTTCATTCTGCTCCACCGAAAATATCGCCATTTTCTCCGGAACAATTCCTTTAAAGAAATAGTTTCATAAAAAGATGCAAGATACAAAGGATGCTTGTTAAAATACCTTTGTCTATTGGCAATATTGACTAAAGAGTAGATAACACAAAACACTTCCCGACATTTACAATGTGTTATGGTATCTTTCTAAAACCTATGTTCCAATTATCAACTGATATTCAAGCAAGAGTCATGTTCCAGAGCCGTATGACCTCGTTTACAGAAAGATCTATGATTCACATGTTTATTTTATTCTTACTCACTACGTCTGAATGCTCAAACAGAACTGACTCAATAATATTCGTAACACTGTAAAACCAGTAGACAGACTTCGAAGAAAAGTATGGACAGCCTTAATATCAACTCGTACTCTTCGTAATACTCTCAATTCATTTCTATCACAATCTGTAATAAATAGGCATTTAATTCTCACAACTAAAACAATAATGGATAGTACAAGTGAAAAATGCTCCTTTTACAATGTATAAAAAATAACCAGCATGATGAAAGCTTTAAGGGAGAAAAAATTTTTCAACAAGTCATATTTTATATTTGTCAACATATGATGAAGTCTACTAATACATAATATTTTTCGAAAAAAATATACACTGTTTTTTGCCTTTCATCTCCTATAAATTTGAAAGAAAAGGAAAGTACCGTCTCCATCCTGTAAACACACATTTTGAAGATTTGAAAAATATACAGCAATATTTGTTGAATCCAAATCACCACAAAATTGCAATTCTCCTTCTTGATTTCCTTTTATTGTCTAAAACCATATTTTTCTTCTAACAACCACAATAATGTAATGTTGACAGTATTTTTTGCCAACTAGATATGAAAATTTACCATATATTTTACTCCCATATTTTTGAATGAATTTACCAAGTTACGCACTGTCGACAGTGATGGAAGATAAAGAGCAACCTAAAATTGTCAAAAGCAATGGTAAAAATAAATCTTGAAATAAAAGTAAAAAAGATAATATACATTATATATAACAATTCAGCAATACTTTTCACTCCTTGTCAATGAAGTGTGTCCTGCTTGATACGAATTTGTTTTCAAATTGAACAATGTTACATTAAGCTTAAGTAAATGAATATCGTAAAGTAAATTTGAAACCACCAATTACGATAATTCCGATCCATAAGTTCACATTATCCTATTAAGCACTAGACCAGTATTCTTAAGAAAAAGGCAGATATTTTCCGGATTAAATTTGTTTGAACAAAAACAATTCAGAGATAAATTTTAGCATTACTTGCACATTATTCAACGCCGGAATGTCATAAGTTTTCCAATATTTTGTTGGAATTAAGAAAACAGGAATGTCATGAACCATGTCGCACGACTTTTGCTCTACTTTTAAATGTGGTATAATGCCAAGTCTGACAAGTCTAATTTTAGTTGATCGATCTTTTGCGTAGACACTTCTGAACAAGTAGTCTTTATCGATTTCCATATAAATTTCGTTCTGTTCTTCAGACACACCACTCATAATGTAAGTTGAAAAGAATTCAGCCTGAAAAGTATTATAACGGTGTTATCATCCAAATGAAAAAGATATGTTACATACAATTCAGAAATTTTTAGATCAAATTTCTAGCGTAAATTTCAGTAACTGGAAGAAGCATCAAATAAAATAGTGTTAAATTCAAAAAAAAAAACAGCATGAGATTTTGATATGAGATCAATCAAATGGTACAATCTTGACATTAAAAAATCTTGCTATCACACATGAGAGAAATAAAAATTGTTAGATGAATAATTAAAAAAACGAAAATGTAAAATACTTTATAATTTTAAAATGATTACCACATTGAGCGACACATGCAAATAATTTCCATTGTTAGCTAAAGGACAAGGATTGATTAGGTGCACAGCATTTGACGTAAATCGTAATGTCACTTTATCCTTGCACAATTTCGAAGTAAATTCAGTAATTTCTGCCAGAAGACATAGCTTTATAGTTTTATATTTTAGACTTAAATCCATATAGCAAAACTAGCATATAATAGTTCAAAAATATTCATTACTGTATTATTTCAAACTATTCTTTCAAGTGAAACAGTAATATGAGATACACAAGATCAGACATAACGTCAATTAATTTGGCACAACAATTAAATGAAGAATAATATATTCATTATATATAAGTTGTTACGGAACTTACTTGAAAACGTATCAACTGCACCGCTTTCGGCCAAAACAGCAAGAAATTTCATTCGAATTATAATAAATAATCCGCAAACTAAAGAATTTTGAAATCTGAAGAAGTTATATCACTTACCTTCTTAACGTAAAATTAAATTTTCCAATAAAATAGCTATGAAGCAAAAAAAAAAGAAGCAAACGCATGCTGCAATTGAAACAATACTACTGATGAGCGACAGCAGCACTACAGTAACAAATAACTGCCAAAATTTATGCATTATTATCACTATATCACACTGTCATGCCGAAGTTCCAACAGTCCACTTCCCTAAAAAGATTCAAAAATTCTTAACTTGCTTCAAAAATGACCAAAGAACCGGAAAATACTAACTTTACAAGCTCATATACAGCATAAATTCTGGAAATGAAAATAACAAATTTTTTAAGGGGACACAAAGGATATATTCTGACAAGTGAATACCGAAATTTTGAATGGAACCACACAATAAGCTGCAAATGGCGATTTGGTGAGAACCATAGTGCTAGTTGAATTTACTTCAGGTGGAGAGAGCCATAAGCGTGTGCTAGGACGGTGAGACCTAGAGATGACAATTATGTAACCAGAAAAAATTCCTAAAAACTTAAAATATGGTTAAAATCCAGATCCTGCTTTTTATGACTAAGTTCAGAACCGTCTAAATCGAACTAATAAATAAGGATTTTTTAATACGATTTGAAATTCAGTACCATGAAGTTCCAAGAGCGGATGCAAGATATGCGCTATTACTTTTACCATTTTCGAAGCGATAAGTAACATGGTTTACGGCAATCACCAGAAATGACGAATAATTTTAATGTAGAGAAAACAAACAGTAAATTAAAAACAATTCCAAATACTCAATTAAGAATAATATTCGAATTACATTTCTTTTGAAACTGAATAAATTGATACTGGCTATTCGTTTACAACAAGAATTAAAAATTCACAACTAATCTATAGGAAGCTGCTAATTTTGAAAGAACTCGGGAAATTTCAAGTCTGCAGCGTAATGCGTAATCGTTTTCTCCACGCAGAAGCATAGCAACACTATCCACAATAATGAGACCAATCTCAAATTCAATGCAGTTGTTTTAAGATGAGCCAAATATTATAGCTGCAGATGTGTTTCCTTGAAAACGCAATTTTAAAATCACGACCAACATAATTTCTCACGGAATCAGTTAAAAATTATGGTGGGAGGGATGAAAAAAGCCATATACTGAAATAAATTATAAGTCTACATTAATCTTATTTTCTCTAATTTTTGAATTTTTCTAAAAAAATACAGTTTTTATTCAGAAAACCAAACAAGAACAATATATAGCAAACAAACATCAGGATTTTGTTGCACTAATGATTCTAATTGATAAATGGTGCGCATTAGTTCGATCAAATCTCGACAACGGCTAACTCGTATATGTTTCAGCGATTCAGATGGTTCTAAACCAGTGACGCTTGTCGCCATATGGCAGATACGTTTTGTACGAAATCCACCCTCTGTATCTACATATACACTACCTTTCTTCTTTCGATTTTTCTGTATATGTACGGCTAACTGCATACTGCATGAAAATACTTGAGAAAGCAAATATCTTTCGTACAAAACAAGTGTAATTAAAAAAACTGTTAAATGCGTAACTGACAGGTTATTGTCTAAAATACCAAATTAATACCAAAATTGCGATTTCCCCGCTGCGGATAAACCAACAATTTCAAGAAAAGTACTCGGTGGGATGCCACCTCCAAAAATACCATCTAATGATGGAAGACCAGTTTCCAACAGTTCATCTTTCTGCTCGATTTTATATAAATCTAATGCATTTGTGAACTCCATTTGCTACAATTAGAAAGGCGTGATAATAGCTATAAAGACTGCAGTACAACTCTTCACAAGAAAAATTATCAGCAAGTGACTGCGCAGCAAAAACGAATTAAGGGTAAATGTTACTGCGATATAAATTGATTTTCGTGAGTTAATAATGAGCACTTAATAATTTCTTGAAAAGCCACAGATTTCTCGAAAAATCATGGATTTAAATGGATTTCATTTTCGGTTAGATATAAGTAATTCAAGAATTTCAGAAAGGATATAAGCAAACAAAGTAAAATGGCTATTTCAGTTGATGAATCAGCTGACTGATAACAGCTGATAATGCATGCGTAAATTTATGACGCTGAATAACTGATAATAGGACAAAGTGGAATGGAAGGATACAGAAGTACTCAAATACCACAATTAACTTTACAATTATGAATGCAGTGATACAAGAAAGAAACTTTGATAAATATTTGCTTGCAAAAGGTTTGGATACATATTGCGACCATAAAGAAACACTCATAAATTGCATATAAGATATATAATCATCAGTTCAAGTATTTGCTCTGGCTTGTCTGATTACAGTTTGGAATTGATGATAGTAATATGTTGCTTACTTCATAATGTGAAGGTAGCAATTTAAGAGTTATATTTTCATCTTTATTTTGCAAAGAATTGTTATCCAGTATAAAATTTTCCTAGAACATTGGAATTTTTAAAAACTTCATAATTGTTACGCTTCAAATAATATAATTTATTGCCTTTAGATGTGATATTATTCATCTCATTTATTACTTACTTCCTCAGTTCGAATGCATAATGTTTTTACGACACTGATAATTTCAGTAGTCAATTTGAAGAAATGAAGAGAGACATGATTAAGTAAATTGAATTTGTTCAAAATTAGCATTTCGTGCAATTAGCATTTTGTGCAGAAAATTCTTTCGTTTGGTGAACCAAATTGTTTAGTTTAGTTCATAATTATTATTCTGATTTGCAGCTTTTGTTAGCAGCCATTTAATTATTCAGCTTCTGTTTCAGAACTTTTTTTATCGAACAAACGCTAACGCTCATTTTGACGCCTTGTGCAACGAATTTCATGAATATATCATTTTTTTCAGGTCAAAATGGATAAGAAGCGAATAATTGCATTAATAGATATGGACTGTTTTTATGTTCAAGTGGAACAACGACTTCAACCTCGCCTTTACGGTAAACCGGTTGCTGTTGTTCAACACAGCAGTGTAAATCACAAGGGAGGAGGGTGAGAACTGTTCAAAAATTCTTTAATTTGGAGTTAAATGTACTTTTCAGCGTTTGAAAACTAATTAACATTGTTTTTCTGAGTTTATTTAGCATTTTAATGTTAGATTTGAAGTTCTATTGATTCCTTTATATTTGCATTTCGTAATAAAAGTGTCCCAAGTTAATTGGTGGCATCAAGCTTGAATTTATAAAATGTTTTTCATGTTTTCTTGAAGATTAATTTAAAATGCTAAACATTTTAATTTACAGTGTTATGTATGCTTTAAATTACAGTTTATTAGCCGTATCATATGAAGCAAGGCAGTTTGGTATTAAGCGTGGCATGTTTGGAGATGAAGCTAAAATTATATGTCCTGAATTAGAGCTTTGCTTCGTACCCAGTGGTGAACATATCGATAAAGCAGATATCACGCGTTATAGGTTACTTTGAAAATTAATTTTAGAGTCAGTCAGATAAATTAATATCATTTATCAGTAAAGTTATTTTCAGTACTATTTTATTTATCACCATTTCAATATATTAAATCTTAAAACTACAAATACTATTATTTTTTGCATTAACACTCTTAAACAATCATTGCAAAACTCATTAAAGTAAATTTAAAAGGAAAATAAATTGCAATTTACATGGTTTCCTATACCAGAAATTGAAGATAAGGTTATTATGTAATTACCTCTTATTTCAGAGACGCATCTGCGGAAGTATTTAAAGTTTTACATGAATTTGATGCAAGGATTGTCGTTGAACGTGCTTCAGTTGATGAAGCTTATTTAGATCTTACTTCTATAGTGAATCAGACTTTTGAAAGCATACACCCGTCGAGTAAAGTATTCGTATTCTAACTCTTTTACTTACATATTTGTTTTTGCACATAGAGTAAATGGAAATTACTCTATGAACCTAAAATATTGCTTTAATTCAGATGAAAGAGTTAAAGCAATATTTTAAGATTAAAAAATGATATTTATTCTGTTTATTCAAAAATAGTCAGTTTTTTGAGTTCTTTACAGAATTATATTGAATGTTAGTTAATAGCTCAAATATAAAATGTCATTTTCTCTTATTCTCAAATATTAAAAATTCAGTACGGAAAATCTGATGCAGTTGACTTATTTCCCACGACCCACGTTGCTAATGGAACTGACCTGAATGAACAAGGATTATCAGGTTGGAAATATGACAGGATTGAGTCCTTGCGTTTATTCATTCACCATGCATGCGAAACAAAAGATGAATATAAGGTTCACACAACTTTATTTATATTTGTGGTATTTTTTTTAGATGTGCTCTCCATTACCTTCGCACATTATGAAATTGCTTGAAGATATTAACAGTCAGTTAGAAAATTAATAAGGAGAATGAAAATGCTTGTGGATTGCTAAAAAAAATTAAATTTGAATAGGTCTCTCTTTGTTCAACAAATCATATGTTGAGATTTGATATTTTCTTTAATATATGATTGTCTGATTTAAGTCATTTCAGTTAAAGCTGATTATTGGAGCTAATTTAATTGAACAGATAAGGAGCCAAATTAAAAGAGATACAAAATTCAGTTGTTCTGCTGGTATTGGTAGCAGCAAGGTATTCTTAGTTTTTACTTTTTGTGTTTTTTTCTTCAGCATTACAAAATGCATTCTTATTTATTTCGAAATCTCTTTGTAGGGATAACTGCTGTTAATTAACTTGTAAAGTACTTTGGTTTTTGGCTGATTCAATGCAATTCTAGGATTTTTATTTATTTATCAAACTTGGAACAGAAAATTAGTATTTTCATCTATTTTAAGTTATAGTTTTAATCTTGTTCGAATCACGAATTTGAAGACTTTCTTATGTTATAGATGATCGCTAAATTGGTTTGTTCACGGCATAAGCCCGGGCAACAAAGTGTTATATATGATGAAGCCATAACAGAAATTTTCAAGTATACACCAATATGTGAAGTTCGAAATCTTGGGGGTAAATTAGGAAGGCAGTTGATGAAAAAATTCAATATAAAGGTTCTTTATCTCGGTCTTATCATTTAAGAAAATTGATACAATGAGTTATTAACTTTCAAAAACGCAATTTATAGACAATGGGAGAGCTATCGCAAATATCAATGTTGGATCTTGTCGAATGTTTCTCGGCTCAAGCAAAATGGATTCATAACATAGCACGTGGTTTGTCATTTCCAGTTTTGGGGTAGCTCTTCACTGGTTCTTCTATCCGAGTGCTTGTAACTAAATGATTTAGATTTAATGATGTTAAGTGATTTGTCCAAGTTTTCGTATCTGGGTATATTTGCTTGAGATAAAAGGATTTAGGTGTTGACGATGAAAAAGTAAATGCACGGGACAAACAGAGCTCCGTTGCTGTCAGTAAAAATTTCCCCGGATCTAATGCCTTAAAAACCGACGGGGATGTGAAATTCTGGCTGGATGGTTTAATCAAAGAACTAGTGAAGCGTTTAACTGATGATCAGTTAAAGGGTGGTGTAATTTCATGATCTTTTGTGTTTTAATAAAATTCGTGAAGACATATTTTTTCTAGAAATTTTTTGCTGAATTGCTTTATTTGGAAATGTTAAGTTCGTTGTAATATTTTGAAGCAATAAATCACTGACCTCAGAAGAAAATTATAAATAATTTATTTTTTTCTTTGTTTTACTTATTCAGATCAGAAATTTTAATTTTTCGAATTTTTTTTTCATTATACTAAAGCTTCGAAGTATAGTATTTCAGAACAACCGGACAGCTTCTACCCTCCATATTGGCTGTACAACAGATGCACATGTCACTAGAAGTATGCAGATAAAAACATATGAGCCACAAGCATTGTTCACTTCTGTTTGGCCAATTCTGCGACATATAAACAAGTCATCGATCTTAGGAACTTGGTAAATAAAAAACATTTTCCATACTGGAAGTTTTGATATTTAATTTGGTTAAATTGGTTTGAAGTTTAATTACCATTCTACTGCTCGACCATTGGGTTAATTGTTTATATGTGAAAAAAATGAGACAT